TTGGTTCATTCCGTTCTGGTTATTGACGTTTTGGTCATTGTCGTTTTGGTTTATTGCCGTTTCGATCTGCTACAGTTTAATTAATGGTATTTCATATATTTGTTATATGTGTGCTATTTGTTTTTAAATATGTCCGCCCTTTTGGCCATCCCTCTGTTTATTATAAACAACATGAGTGTTACATCGATAATTAAACATAAATATAGGAAGTGCAATAGTAAATAGTACTTTTTTGAATAATAATAATAATAATAATAATAATAATAATAATAATAATAATAATAATAATAATAATAATAATAATAATAATAATAATAATAATTCTGTTGTTCCCCTCGCCAAGTATCTAGCCCGGTTACTCTATCCACTGGTAGGCAACATTGGTCACCATGTCATCAATTCTTAATACTTCGTGAAGACGATCCAGGATATTTACCTCGAACCAACCGACACTCTCGTCAGCTTCGACATCAAATCTTTATTTACAAATGTACCGGTGAAGCAGGCTTGTCTTATAGCAAAACATCGTCTAGAAGAGGACCCTACTCTCCAAGACAGAACAGCCCTCAACCCCGAACAGATCCACGACCTGCTTTTACTTTGTTTACTCTCTACCATTTCAGATGGCATGACCAATTCTTTGAACAAACTGAAGGCACGGCCATGGGATCTCCTTTATCCCCAGTCATTGTCAACATCTTCCTCGAAGAATTCGAACAGCTGGCTATTCATTCCGCCACCCGACAACCCAAACTTTGGCTACGATACGTCGATGACACATTTATCATTTGGCAGCACAGCAAGGTGCACCTAGGTAGTTTTCTAGAACACCTGAACTCTCAGCACGGTGCTATCTTGTTTACCATGGAAGAGGAACACAATCGCTCTTTACCTTTCCTTGATGTTTTGGTCACCAGGCAGAACTCAGGCATTTTATCGCATTCAGTCTACCGCAAACCAACTCACACCGACAGATATTTGAATAAACGCTCGTTTCACCACCCATCTACCAAGAAAGGAGTTTGCAACACACTTATCAGAAGAGCACAAAGCATCAGTGACCGCAACTCCATCTAGAAAGAGATGCAACATGTAAAGGAAGCCCTGAAACTCAACGGTTATCACATGAGAGATTTGAAAATACACAAACGCAGCAATAGCCAAGATGACACGGAACCTAGAAAGTCTGTATGTTTACCATTTTTGGGACAGCTTTCTCACCGTATTCAACGCATTCTACAACTAGCCGATATTAAAGTTGTTCATAGTGCACCCAACAAACTATCAAGGACTCTTCAAACTCACAAGGATAAGCCACCAGCAAATAGCCAGCAAGGGGTTTATCGGATACCATGCGAATGCGGAAAGGTTCACATTGGTGAAACAGGTCGTGATCTCCGTACCAGGCTCAAGGAACACCAAGGCCATGCCAGGAGAGGGGAACAACAGAAGTCATCTATAGTCATGCACTCCCACACACAACAACATCGTGTATGTTGGGATAAATCTGAACTGATAGCCATTGTACCATCTTGGTATTCCAGACGGACCAGAGAAGCTATAGAAATTCACAAACACGATACAGTACATCAAGATATTGGATTTGTCATCAGCGATATTTGGTAGTCCATGTTTAACCGGACCTAAAACCAAATTTTTCCCGCCAAATCTTTCCCTCTACACTGGAAACTATGCCATTGTTTTTGGCTTTCCTTCCCCCAGCTAGAACAATGCCACTGTCTTGGCTTTCTAGCCACGCTCCGCCCTTCTATTCAGACCGTGAATTTTAGATTTTGTATAGCTTTTCACTGGTAGGCTGTTATTGTATATTTGTTTTTTTAAATAGTCCCTTTGCCCATCGCATTGTATAAAAGTAGAATTCTGATTAAACGATAGTTCCAGGCGAAATAAAAGTTATATAGGCCTATATAAATAATAAATATATATATATATATAAGATGTGTATAAGAGACAGTCTTTGAACAAACTGAAGGCACGGCCATGGGATCTCCTTTATCCCCAGTCATTGCCAACATCTCCCTCGAAGAATTCGAACAGCTGGCTATTCATTCCGCCACCCGACAACCCAAACTTTGGCTACGATACGTCGATGACACATTTATCATTTGGCAGCACAGCAAGGTGCACCTAGATAGTTTTCTAGACCACCTGAACTCTCCTGGCATGGCCTTGGTGTTCCTTGAGCCTG